CAGGGAGTGCCACTGCATTCCAGTCTGGGTGACAGAGCGAGACTCTGTCTCAAGAAGAAAAAAGAAACTAAAAGGCCGGGCGTGGTGGCTCAGGCCTGTAATCCCAGCACTTTGGGGGGCCGAGGCGGGTGGATCACGAGGTCAAGAGATCGAGACCATCCTGGTCAACATGGTGAAACCCTGTCTCTACTAAAAATACAAAAATTAGCTGGGCATGGTGGCGTGTGCCTGTAATCCCAGCTACTCAGGAGGCTGAGGCAGGAGAATTGCCTGAACCCAGGAGGCGGAGGTTGCGGTGAGCCGAGATCGTGCCATTGCACTCCAGCCTGGGTAACAAGAGCGAAACTCCTCCTCCTCAAAAAAAAAAAAAAAAGAAAGAAATTAAAAATAAATACAAATACAAAAAATTTGCTGGGCATGGTGTTGCACACCTGTAATCCCAGCTACATGGGAGGCTGAGGCAGGAGAATCGCTTCAACCTGGCAGGTGGAGGTTGCAGTGAGCAGAGATCACATCACTGCACTCCAGCCTAGGTGACAGAGCAAATCTCTGCCTCAAAAAAAAAAAAAAGAACAGTCAACTGAACAGTGCTGCAGTCTTCCAGTGGTTTAATTTATGATACAGAGTAAGCATTTCTTCCATGTTTGTTCCGAAGGCTGAAGTGTCATGGCATGATCTCGGATCACTGCAGCCTCAACCTACTGGGCTCAGGAAATCCTCCCATCTCATCCTCCTGAGTAGCTGGGACAGTACGTATGAACCACCATGCTTCGCTATTTATTTTTATTTTTATTTTTGTAGAGATGGGGGTCTCACTATGTTGCTCAGGCTGGTGTTGAACTCCTGGCATCAAGCAATTGTCCTGCCTTCGCCTCCCAAAGCACTATTACAGGTGGGAACAACCACACCCGGCATTTCTGTGTCTTAGTGAATACAAGTCATCCTTAGTCATCCTTTGTGCTTTTAGTGTTGTGAAATACCTCTCGGAGTTCCTTTTTTGTGTGTGTGAGATAGAGTTTGGCTCTGTCAGCCAGGCTGGAGTGCAGTGGTGCAATCTTGGCTCACTACAGCCTTTGCCTCCTGGGTTCAAGGGATTCTCCTGCCTGAGCCTCCCGAGTAGCTGGGATTACAGGCATGCGCCACCATGCTGGGCTAATTTTGTATTTTTAGAAGAGAAGGGTTTTTTCCACGTTGGTCAGGCTGGTCTCGAACTCCTGACCTCAGGTGATCCACCCGCCTTGGCCTCCCAAAGTGCTAGGATTACAGGCATGATCCACCACGCCCAGCCCAGGGATGCGGTTTCACCACGTTGGCCAGGCTGGTCTGGAACTACTGACCTCAAGTGATCCGCCCACCTCGGCCTCCCAAAGTGTTGGGATTACAGGCATGAACCACTGTGCCTGAACCAGGGAGTTCTTTTAATTTAAGTGAAGTTTTTGCTGATGTTATTTCCTCTGGGTCATCATCTTTTTCTTTAGAACCACCTTCCTCATTTATGCTGGTAAGTTTGCCTTCACGAAGTTTCTCTGGCAGCAGATCTCAAGTTTCCCAAACAGTGAACAGCTACAGGGTTGACATCCCCACAGCTGTTTCTTCCATTATTCCATTTATGTCCATTTGTTTGTTTGTTTTTTGGTTTTTGGTTTTGAGACGAGTCTTATTCTGTCACCCACACTGGAGTGCAGTGACACGATCTCAGCTCACTGGCAGGGTGGTTCACACCTGTAATCCCAGCACTTTGGGAAGCTGAGGTAGGAGGATCACCTGAGGTCAGGAGTTTTGAGACCAGCCTAGCCAACATGGCGAAATCCTGTCTCTCCAAAAAATATAAAAATTTGCTGGGTGTGGTGGTGGGCACCTGTAATCTCAGCTATTCGGGAAGCTGAGGCAGGAAAATCGCTTGAACCTGGAAGGCAGAGTTTACTGTAAGCCAAGATTGTGCCACTACACTTCAGCCTGGGTGACAGCAAGACTCCATCTCAAGAAAAAAAAAAAAAATCTGCAGCCGGGCGCGGTGGCTCAAGCCTGTAATCCCAGCACTTTGGGAGGCCGAGGCGGGTGGATCACGAGGTCGAGAGATCGAGACCATCCTGGTCAACATGGTGAAACCCCGTCTCTACTAAAAATACAAAAAATTAGCTGGGCATGGTGGCTCGTGCCTGTAATCCCAGCTACTCAGGAGGCTGAGGCAGGAGAATTGCCTGAACCCAGGAGGCGGAGGTTGCGGTGAGCCGAGATCGCGCCATTGCACTCCAGCCTGGGTAACAAGAGCGAAACTCCGTCTCAAAAAAAAAAAAAAAAAAAAAAAAAAAATCTGTGGGAGAACTGCTGCAATGGAGGCAGCTCAGGTGCTCTGGCAGCACCGAGGAGACCCAGCACCACCAGGGCTGTGGACCATTACCGTGCCCAAGACCCTTCTGGGGAAGCTCCAAGGCATTTAAGATCTGAGGCCTCCCTGCTGCCAGGCCAGGCAGGCCAGGGGCTGAGGGCCAGTGGCCTGTGCCCTCCTCTGACACACGCCTCTATCAGCCTGGGCAGCTACTGGCCATTTGCTTGACCTGAAGGCAGTGGATGACCCCTGGGCACCTGGAATGCGTCAGTGATGCATTCCAGGGGCTGATGTCAATAACCCAGGGGCTGGTGTGAGCTATGCCACTGTCCCCCAACTCCCACTGTACCAGCTCTGCCCAGCAGCCTATAGTAATGCTGGACAAGGTCCAAAGCCTCCTCAGCCTGGCCTTTGGAGCTGTCCCGAATCCAGGCTTGGCAGCCTCCACCTTCCCTCCCTTTACTCTTTTTTTAGAGATAGGGTCTTGTATTGTCACCCAGAAGCCTCAAACTCCTGAGCTCAAGTGATCCTCCTGCCTCAGCTTTCTGAGTAGCTGGAACTATAGGTGCATGCCACCACCCCTGGCTCTCAAATCCTTTGCTTTTTTTTTTTTTTTTTTTTTTTTTTAAATACGGGGTCTCCCTATGTTGCCCAGGCTGGTCTTGAACTCATGAGCTCAAGTGATCCTCCCATGTCAGCCTCCAAAAGTGCTGGGATTATAGCTTGGATTACAGGCACGAACCACTTCATCCAGTCATCCTCTGTTTTTGTTTTCTGAGACAGAGTCTCTCTCTGTTACCCTGTCACCCAGGCTGGAGTGCAATGGCACAATAATCTAGGCTCACTGCAACCTCCATCTCCCAGGTTCAAGTGATTCTCCTGCGTCAGTCTCCTGAGTAGCTGGGATTACAGGTGCACATCACCATGGCCGGCTAATTTTTTTTTTTTTTTTTTTTTTGAGATGGAGTCTCACTTCGTCACCTAGGCTTGAGTGTAATGGCATGATCTTAGCTCACTGCAACCTCCGCCTCCCGGGTTCAAGTGATTCTCCTGCCTCAGCCTTCCAAGTAGCTGGGATTACAGGCACCTATCATCATGCCTAGCTAATTTTTGTATTTCTGTAGAGACGGAGTTTCACCATGTTGGCCAGGCTGGTCTCGAATTCCTGATCACAGGTGATCCGCCTGCCTGAGCCTCCCAAAGTGCTGGGATTACAGGTGTGAGCCACCACACCCGGCCTGCTTTTGAATAGATGTTGCCCACCTTCACTCAATTTGTTCCCCCTGCCTGGCATATCCTTCAATCCAAAACCCCTGGCAGGGCTTAGCCCCACCCATTCCTCCTCTCCGAAGCTTCTGTGTCCACCCAGGCCCTTTGCTGAACTCAGAGAGCACCTACCTGTGCCTGACGCCCCCCAACCCCGTGCTAAATTCTCTGATCCTCACCACAGCTGATTAGGATGGTATTATTGCCTCTATCTTCCGCAAGAGGAGAACAAGGAAAGCTCACTCCACCTAGAGAGCTCCAGCTGTGATTCAAACCCCGGCTTGCCTATTTCCAAAGTCCCAATTCTGTCCCCTGAAATCTTCTCTCAGGAGGTGAGTGCTGTGGCTGACCACCAGCCCCTCGGGGTCAGAAACCATGCCGTGTCCAACTCCACCTTGCATGGCTGCTTCCAACAGCAGGCAAGGTGACCCTGGCTTCTCAGGCTGGCCCCATGCCACATCACTCAAGCAAATGACGCCACATCACTCAAGCAAATGACAAGATTCGGTTCTGGAGCTTCTTAATAGGGGCACACTTAGAATTAGAGGTGAGTCAGTTCTTCACTGGGGAGAGCTATCCAGAGCTTTGAAGGATATTTAGCATCCCTGGGCTTAAAATGCCAGGAGATGCCCAGTTACTGGCACAACACACATCATGGCACTTCTAGAAAAGGGGTACAGGATAGGTGATACTATGCCCAGGAAGACCAGTGTACTACACGAACAACCACAAAGACCAAAGCTTGAACTTGGATCAGATGGTCACAGCTCCACCATAAACTAGCTATGGGACCTTGATCATGCCAGAGCATGGAAACTTGGAGGCTCAGCTTTCTCATCTGTACAATGGGGGTGACGAGAATCCACAGAGAGTATACTGTGGGTCCTGGCTCATAGCCACCTGTCAGTGACAACAGGTTAACTTTTTTTTTTCTGAGACAGTTGTGCTCTATTGCCCAAGCTGGAGTGCAGTGGCACAATCTCGGCTCACTACAACCTCTGCCTCCCGGATTCAAGTGATTCTTGTGCCTGAGCCTCCCGAGTACCTGGGACCACAGGCACGCGCCACCACGCCCAGCTAATTTTTGCATTTTTGGTAGAGATGAGGTTTTACCATGTTGCCCAGGATGGTATTGAACTCCTGAGCTCAAGCGATCCTCCCACCTCAGCCTTCCAAATTTCTGGGATTACAGGCGTGAGCCTCCGCACCTCGCCAACAAGCTATTAACATTTAAACCTATAAGGCTTTCCATAGTAACCAAGCAAAATGAAAAAAATCTCTTATATAGTGAATCCTAATTTTTTTTGACAGATAAAAACAGTCTCCTGAAGACAAATGTTTGGTGACAATCCGTCGGGTCAATGTTTAGAGAGAATGGCCTGAGGATAACAATCACAGTACTCACACACAGTCCCCTCGAGCTGAGGAATTGGCAGAGGAGACAGAAACCACTTCTGGGAGTCCAGACTGCAGGGTTCAGGCTCGAGGGGTTGGTGGAAGACCCTGAGTGAGACAAACAGTGGGTATCCTTCCATTTATTCCTCCTGGTACAGGACCCAGGTTCAAAACCGCAATCTCACTCAGCTTTGTACATTAAAGGAACCCACAACAGACAGGCAGATAGCCTGGCAGGAACCCTAGAGAAGGTGGCATCAGTTTTATTTTTATTTGTATTTTTGAGACATAGTCTCGCTCTGTTGCCAGGCTGGAGTGCAGTGGCATGATTTCAGCTCACTGCAACCTCTTACACCCTGGTTCAAGTGATTCTCCTGCCTCAGCCTCCTGAGTAGCTGGGATTATAGGCACCTGCCACCATGCCCAACTAATTGTTGTATTTTTAGTAGAGACAGGATTTCACCATGTTGGCCAGGATAGTCTGAATCTCTTGACCTCGTAATCCACCCGCCAAGGCCTCCATAAGTGCTGGGATTACAGGTGTGAGCCACCACGACCCACCAAGAAGGTGGCATCAGTTTACAGGTGGGGAAATTGAGGCTTAGAGAGGGGAAATGACTTACCCAAAGTCCCAAAAAAGCACTAGGAGGCCTCAGCTGCAAGCCAGGGAATGAGGGCATAGATGAGCGTGTTAGAAATTATGCAGGGAATGGGCAGTGCCATCCAGGAGTGGGATGTGGCCCCAGGTCTGTTCTGGCAGGAGTTGTTACAGTGACTGCCTCATGGCTGTGAATGCGTCTGTTCCTTTATCACCCTCACCTGGATTATAAAATCAGGAACCCTGGTCTTTGGAGCTTGGAGAGGTTAGTTGTGGAGCTCGGGTGTTTGGCACCTAATGGAGGTCTTCTCCAGGAGGAAAGATTCCTGCTGAAGTCAGACTGGACGGGTCTAACTTGCATATTCTCCAATCCTGTCGGTCACCCTCAATTTCCTAGCGGACCCCGAGGCCAAGTCCAGGGTAGGAGCCCATCTCTGCTTGAGTCTCCAGCCCCATCATTTCTCCTTCCAGACATCCTACAGTTTCCCGTCACATTGAAAGTCCTTTCCTTTCTGACCCCACTGAAGCTAAGCCACATGTCCCCTCCTGGATGATCCCAAGGTCTTGGGCTCCCAGCCTCAAGACACTCAGCACAGGGGCACTCAACTCCCAGGACAGGAACTTCATGTTTGACCTGCTCTCCACCAGATCCTCAGTCTCTAGCATCCTACCCAACACACAGTAGGCCCCCAAAGCATTAGCACAGATGATCCCAGGAAGCTGAGGGAGAGGCCCAGGAGCGCAACAGCGAACAGCCTTCCTAAGGAGGAAGGGAGACCTTTAGGAGCCTCCTTCGGGCAACTTTCTTTTTTTTTTTTTTTTTTTTTTGAGATGGAGTTCCGCTCTTGTTACCCAGGCTGGAGTGCAATGGCCCGATCTCGGCTCACCGCAACCTCCGCCTCCTGGGTTCAGGCAATTCTCCTGCCTCAGCCTCCTGAGTAGCTGGGATTACAGGCACGTGCCACCATGCCCAGCTAATTTTTTGTATTTTTAGTAGAGACGGGGTTTCACCATGTTGACCAAGATGGTCTCGATCTCTCGACCTCGTGATCCACCCGCCTCGGCCTCCCAAAGTGCTGGGATTACAAGCTTGAGCCACCGCACCCGGCCTGGGCAACTTTCTTAATCGCTCTGTGCCTCACTTATCTGTAAAATGAGGCTTATCTGTGTGTAAAGCACAAAGTATAACACATGGGAACAGTCACAAGATCTGTCATCTTCACAGCACCTATTATGATCTGAAATTAAATTATTTATTGAGTTACTTGTTTTGTGATTTACCTTTCCCTTCCTTCTAAAATGTAAGCTCCTGATTACTATCTCCACAATGCCCAGAATAATGACCGAATGAATGCATATTTATCAAAAGAATATTACCAGTGACATTTCAACCACCACCCCCACTGCCGCTTTTTTTTTTTTTTTTTTTTTTGAGATGGAGTCTTGCTCTGTCGCCCAAGTTAGAGTGATCTTGGCTCACTGCAACCTCTGCCTCCTGGGTTCCAGTGAGTTTCCTGCCTCAGCCTCCTGAGTAGCTGGGACTACAGGCACACGCCACCACGCCTGGCTAATTTTTATTTTTTAGTAGAGATGGAGTTTCACCATGTTGGCCAGGCTGGTCTTGAACTCCTGACCTTGTGATCCGCCCGCCTCAGCCTCCCAAAGTGCTGGGATTACAGGTGTAAGCTACCGCCCCTGGCTGATATTTTACCCCCTTTTAGGCTTTTTATTTCCTCCTTATTAACGAAGCCTCAAAAACTGGGCTAAAAATCCTCAGTGTGCAACTGTGGTTCTGGTTGTTCATTTTACAGGTGGGAACATGGAGGCCTATGGAGTACCTGCCAGGCCCACAGTCCACCCAGGCCCTGGACTTTAAGCTTGGGCTCTGACCTTCCACGTTTGCTTTTCACACTACACATCATGTCAATAAATAGTTACTGGACGCCTGTTGTGTGCCAGGCCCAAGACGGTTGTTGCATGACTGACAACAAAAAGCTTCTCAGTTGGGGGGATAAGCTAGATGATGGGCATTAGCGTAAAATCGCCCAGGGCTCAAATTCCAGCTTCTCCACTTCCTGGCTATGATATTGCTAAGTTTCCTAACCTCTCTAAGGTTCTTTTCTCTTCTATTAAAAGGGAAAAATAAGACCTCCCATCAGGAGAGGTGAAACTAGGCATTGGCTTAACATGTGATGGATGGGAGCCGTGACTGTCTTCACCATCTTATTTTAAATGATCTATCTGTGCACATGGTAGTAAATTTCTCGCCCTGGCCCAGGTACCCAGGACCCCTGTTGTCCTGTCCCAGGCAACCGCAATTAACAACTTCTTGTGCATCTTATCAGACAGCTGGCGTGCACACCCGCAGATTCCCCAACCCTCACGCGTCCTTCTAGGCAAACGATAGCACCCATCAACGCTGTTTTTTCTGTTCCTTCCTTTTTTCACCTAAGGTATCTTAGAAATCTCCCTCTATTAGTGCATATTGAACATTTTCCGTCTTAAATAGCTGCACAATATTCCATTGTATGGATTATTTTTTAATTTGGTTGCCATTACTGCTATCAGCCAGGGAATTTGCGAGGACCCAGGGGGATCCACGAAGCTGCAGAGCTGGAGTCCGAGGATCCAGTTCCAACCCCAAATCTGCCCAGAATTCGCTGTTGCCTCGGGTGTCATCTCCACGGGCGCGATCGTGGGAGGGGGATTTGGGTGCAGGGAGGACCAGCCCCAGTGTCCGAGTGCGGATCAGCGAGCAGCAAGCACAGTTGATTCCCGCGGGCGGCTCAATCATTCTGAGCAGCCACTCCTTTATACTAGCAGCACCAAACTCATTAAGCACCCTGGCACAACCAAGATCGGAACCGTTAGCCGGCCCTCTCAGCCTCTACACCCAGCCTCCGGGCAGTGACGCTCCGACACAGCTACTTACCCCCACCTGGGCCGTTTCACCTCTTGTTCCCCAAGTACACTCGGTAGGTTGCAGCACTTCTTGTCCCTTTAAGGGGGCCGAGTCCGGGCTCCGCTACTTCCGCCCCGAAGTAACAGGGCGCTGGCGTAGGGGTGAGCACGGGTGAAGGCTCAGACAGATTCCCCTCATAAACATGGCGACGCCCTGGCCGCCGCGTTCGCGCCCGGCGGTGACGTCACTTCCGGGGCGGAGGAGCCTGAGTGGTGCAGTGAGGGACAAACAAAAGGAGGCGCCGGAGCAGCGCTGCGGCCGGCGGCGGGACGAAGCGGCCGGGGCCTAGGGCTGCCTGCTGGGCGGCCGGGCGCGGCGAGCCCAGGTGAGTGGATGGGGTAGGGACAAGGGCACGAGCTGTCACCTCTCGAAACCCACTTACACGCTCCCCCGGCCAGCTGCCCAGCCCCGGGCGCCCGGGGCATCTGGGGCTCTGTCTCGGGGCCGGCCCCCTGGGGGCCTCCCGCTGTGTTCGACCTACCTCCGGACTTCCCCGTGCCCGGGGTCTCCGGGGCCCCACCCTCTCCCCGGCTCCGCGGCGCGCGAGCCCCCTCCCAGGCACCCCTGTGCCTCCTTGTGCTCCAGAAACCAGGAGTTTCCGCCTCGGCTCCCCTGTGTCCCCTTGTCATCCCCTGGGTCCCCCCAAATCCTCACCCCTCCACACACACTCTCCCCTTTCTAGAGGTTCCACCTCTGGGCTCTCTCCTTGCCATTTCTTTTTCAAAGATTCCCGTAGCTATCTTTTCTGCAGAGTTCCTGGCCCCCCTCCTCTTCCCTTGCACCCCTCCTTCGTCTTGTTCCGGTGGGGACAGTGCCCTGACTTGGGGGCAAGATCCCCGGTTTGGCCCTTGGGGTCTGTCTGGGATGGGATATCTGGAAAGAGTTGTCCGGAATCTAAGACCCCAGACCCTGTCCCAGTCCTGTGCATCCAGGATGGCCCGAGGGCCAGATCCAGTGAGGTCCGGGCCTGGTCCAGCCCTAGGTGAGCTGGAGTCTCAGCAAACTGGGCTCCCAGGCTGAAGGGGCATCGCTGGGGTTCTTGGAGTTCATGATGATGCTGCTGCTTTCGCCGACTGCTTCTTCCCCTTGATCTGGACTGGAGTGAACCGAGGTCTGCCGGTTCTCAGCCGATAAGGATTGTTGCCTTTTTTGGGAAGGAGAGATGGGTCGGGGGTTGTCTGGTAGCCGCCTCCTGATGGAGACTTGGCTGGAAGGGTGGGTGGTTGCTGGGTGAGCCACACTTCCACTGACTCCTCTTCCCCTGCCCTGCCTCAGGGAAGCCTTTTGAGAATGTGGTGTGGAGGGAGAGCACCTGGTGAGAGGAAGGGAACGGGGGGAGCCCCAAGTTCTCAAGGGCCTCTTCTACCTCGTCTGTTAGTAACTCCTAATCCCTGTCAAACTGTAGTCTGCCCTTTGGAGCAGACCAACTGGCAAACAGACAGACTGGAGGAAGAGGGAGGAGATGGGCTGTTGCTGATGCTTCCTGTGGAGGGGAAGGGGCACTGGGAGTTTGTTTGGAGCAACTGGGCAGTGCTGATTGCTCAGTCTCACAGATGTTGCTTCCGTAAAGGTCAGGTCTTCCTCTGGCTGATGAAGGGAGGCAAGGACAGATGATGACTTGTGCTGGAGGACCGGCTGTTGTGGACATGCCAGGGATGAATGACTGGTCTCTGCTTCCTTGTCTTCCTGGTCTCAGGGCTTTGTTGCGTGGGGTCTGATGCCCCCCACCTTCTAGGGACCATGGGATACACAGCAGGGGCTGCAGGAAAGGTTTGTGACTTCCTCCCAGAACTTGACTAGGTGAGGTGATTCTCCATCCCTTAGGGACACCCACTAGGAAGCTGTTTCCTTTGCAAACTTTGAGTGGCCTTTCTGGACTTGGGTTCTTGGGGATCACTCCCGTGGGTCAGAACTCAGGCAAGTGGCCAGACCTTGAGTTGCTGCCTGGTTTGGCCTGGACCTTGCCTATAGGAGTTGGAGGGAAATCAGCCTGATTCCTGACTTCCTCCCCTTAGAGTAGAGGTAATTCCAGGTTTTCACATGGAGAAACTGAGGCACACACTGATGGGCCATGACGTCTTGGGGATTCAGGTGGGATGGATGCAGGGCTCTAGAGCCCAACACACCATCTCTTCATGCCTCGACTCATTCATTCATTCATTCAGCCATCCTTTAGAAAGTACCCATCTTGGACCTGGGGTGGCTGGGAAAACATAGCCCCGGCCTCCTGAGAACTGCAGTCTGGGAGGAGAGGCATACCGGAAGACACATAAATTCTGATACACTGTGGCCACCATATTACAGAGGCAGCCCAGAGGAAGAAGGAATTAGCTCTGGGTGGTTATGTAGGAGGTGGTCAGGGTATGCTTCCTGGAAGAGGAGGGACTAGAATAATCAGTGACAGAGAGTCCAGGGGCTCAAGTTCTGGATCTAGCTCTGCCATGGGCAGGTGATTAGGACTGCTGAGCCTCAGTGGGTGCCCCATCCTTGATGTGGAGGGTAGAATGAGGTAGAGATTGGCTTGGATGGCCTCTGTGCTTAGATAGCTGTAGGTGCTTTACTGCCTAGTCACCACCACCTTGTGTGGAATTGATGGTTTATTGACCTACCTCTTGTGGTGGCAGAGACCATCTTCCACGTCTGTCCTCCCAGCACAGGGCCTGGAACTCAGTCAGTGTAGTAAAGACCCAGGTGGTAGAAATGATGGAAGCACAGCTATCCCTCCTAGCTCGATCCAGGGTGTCTTTGTGTGCCTCTGTCCTCCTCCTTCCTGGGTAACTCCTGCCGATCCTTTGGCCCTCTCCGGTGGCTAGGCCACTCTCCCGGCTCCTGGCTCCTGATACCTATGTTGTAGTGATCACACCTCTCTCCCCACCTTGACACTCCCACGCACAGTTCTGCACAGAGTGCCTGGCACGTATGGAGTAGTTGCTCATTGGAGGCTGGCTGACTGTCAGAGATGATGAGTGGATTTGGTGTTTGAGTTGGAATCTGGGCAGAGGCTGGACTCTGCTTGTCCCAGTCACCCCACTGTGGCTCATCTCTTGCCACTTCCCCTCTCTGGCTCTGGATCTAGCCATGCCGAGCCCCCAAGCCTTCTCCGGATGCCATGTCCTCTCTCCTCCAGGTAAACATGTGCTGTTTCTCCTGCCTGGAATGCTTTTTCCAGCATCTACTCTTAGGAGTCCACTCAGACAACTCCTCCTCCAGAAAGCCTTCTCTGACCCTGCTAGTCTGGCTCTAGTGCTTCTCCTGGCCTCCCTGCAGCAGAGCCCTGAGCTCTCAGACTGTCGCTGTTGACTTGGCACCTCTTCAGTAGACCAGGTTCTGGAGGGAGGTGCTCCGTCAGAACCTTTTTTGTTTGCCGGGCGCGGTGGCTCACACCTGTAATCCCAGCACTTTGGGAGGCCGAGGCAGGCAGATTGCTGGAGGTCAGGAGTTTGAGAGCAGCCTGGCCAATGTGGTGAAACCCTGTCTCTACTAAAAAGAAAAAAAGTAGCTGGGCCTGGTGGTGCATGCCTGAAATCCCATCTACTCCGAAGGCTGAGGCAGGAGAATCACTTGGACCCGGGAGACTGGAGGTTGCAGTGAATCAAGGTTGCACCACTGCACTCCAGCCTGTGACTCTTGTCTCAAAAAAAATCCTCTTTTGTCACTCCAGAGCCCAGCCAAGGGCCTGGTACCAAGCAGGCTCTCAGCAAGTGCTGGCAGTGCAGCAGGTGACTGCGACAGTCACACATGGGCCTACTGACTGCAGCTCTCGCTTCCTTGCAGGGAGGCAGCGTCCATGGAGCAAAAGGAATGCCAGGACCCTGCCCAGGCCGACGCGGGCCAGCCTCAGCACCGACAGCCGACGCGCAGATAGCAGAGCCGTCCCTGGGGTAAGGACTAGGCCCCCCTCCTTCCAGGCCAGCTCCAGCTCCGGTCAAGTGCCCTTCCCAGCCTGGGGAGCAAAGGGCAACATCTTCATTCCCACAGTCCTTTGCTCTTCTTGCTGTAGGTACAGGGCAGAGTGGCAGACAGCAGAATTACCCTCTTTCTCCTTCTCCCGCTGAGTAATGTCTGCTTGCTGCACTCACTGAATGCTGAGTTGTTTCATTGCAAACCTCTGTTTCGTCTCCCTCACCCCAGATCTTATCAGCCCGGGTTGCTAATGCAGCCTCATGACCACATTTCCCAAAAAGTGTGGACCACGTTTCCCAAGTGTGTTCTGTGAGACACCAGTTTCTTTGGTCACAGAGGTTTGGTAATTCTGGGAAACGAAGACTGCTTGTTGTCCTTGCCACAGGACTTATGAGAGCCTTGAATGGATTGAGCTGACCATGATAAGGGAACTAGCGAGTCATGTTTCTCCACACTTACTTGATCATATAGACATCTTTGGGGACTGGGTTTTCTTGGCCTGTGCTTTGGAAAACAGTTCCCAGAGGCAGGAGAATGCACTGGTTAGGAACTGCCATCAGACCTGGGTTTGAGTCTTGGCTGTCATGTGTTTGCTGAGTGACTGTGGGCCAGTCCTTGTACCTCTCTGAGTCTTGGTTTCCTCATTCTTTTTTTTTTTTTGAGATAGAGTCTCGCTATGTCTCCCGGGCTAGAGTGCAGTGGTGTGATCTTGGCTCATTGCCACCTCTGCCTCCTGGGTTCAAGCGATTCTCCTGCCTCAGCCTCACAAGTAGCAGGGAGTACAGGTGCCCATCACCACGCCTGGCTAATTTTTGTATTTTTAGTAGAGATGGCGTTTCACCATATTGGCCAGGCTGGTCTCAAACTCCTGACATCAGGTGATCTGCCTGCCTCAGCCTCCCAAAGTGCTGGGATTACAGGTGTAAGCCACTGCGACCAGCCAGTTTCCTCATTCTATAAAAAAAGATAATCTTGGCTGGGCATGGTGGTGCACGCCTGTAAACCAAGGCAGGGGAATCACCTGAGGTCGGGAGTTGGAGACCAGCCTGACCAACACAAGAGAAACCCCAGCTCTACTAAAAATACAAAATTAGCGGCCGAGCGCTGTGGCTGATGCCTGTAATCCTAGCACTTTGGGAGGCTGAGGTGGATGGATCACCTGAGTGGTCAGGAGTTCAAGACCAGCCTGGCCATCATGGTGAAACCCCATCTTACAAAAAAAAAAAAAAAAATACAAAATTAGCCAGGCATGGTGGTGCATGCCTGTAATCCCAGCTACTCAGGAGGCTGAGGCAGGAGAATCACTTAAACCCGGGAGGCGAAGGTTGTGATGAGCCGAGATTGCATCATTGCACGCCAGCCTGGGCAACAAGAGAAAAACTCAGTC